GTACCGGGGTGATGCTTTGAGCCTCTGAACAGTAGTAGGCCGGGACAATATTCCCCAACAGTAGTAATATGTAATTATGGAGCATAATGATACACATTAATATATAATTTAGTAATTATAGAAAATTTGTCTCATTTTACTTTTTTCGTCCGTCCCATTAAATTTGTCCTATATCATATTTGATAATATTTGGATGGTTACAATTCATTCTTAATTTATTTACTCTTTATCAATTCAATATCAACCACACAAATCCATTTTTTCTTAAATGTTGTGCCACACGCTCTTATCCCAAATTCCCTATCATAGTGGACAGAGATAGTACTATATTACTATCCTAATCTAGGTGAGGGCGGGTTGACGGTGTCAATCTGGAAAGCGGGATGCACACGGCCATGGAACTATGGAAGTCGTTATAGTCAATGAACCTTAGTCAAGTCTTACTCACAATTTACTCACAATAACATTAAAGGAGAAGATTAAAAGTCTGATTAATTTACTCTCTTAACTAAATTATCCCGTCGGTTTCAAGTAATAAAGCTCATATATAAATTCTCTCAGGTTCTGTTTCCCAAAGCTGCAAAGTTTTCAGTTTCTCATCTTTACGGAATTCTTCTGTCTTCATTCGTCTATGGTTTACTCACTCGTATTCTGCCACAGAGTTCTTGTCATCAAGGAATTTACGAAATAATTGGTAGCATATTCCCTGAATTTCAAGAATGCATCCTCCGAGCACCCAACCGCCGACGTCCACGGCGGAGATTCTTGACCAGATCACCCTCCTCCTCTCCCATCTACTTCCCGCATCTCTTTCTATCAAGTCTTTCTCCTCCCGCTGGCATGCCATCCGTTCCAAGCTAGCTACTCTGAAATCGCTTCTTTCTGAAGTGTCTGAGTCTCCCCGTTGGTCGGATAACGCGCTACTCCCCACTCTTCTTCCCAACCTCTTATCTATAGTCCGCCGCGTCGACACCCTCTGCCGCCAGTGCTCCGATGCTTCCATCACTCCAGGCAAGCTTCTTATGCAGTCGGACCTTGATATGGCTGACGCCTGGCTTTCCAAACAAATCAACCACCTCGACGTCCTCTGTCGCTCCGGCGTCCTACGGCACTCCACGGCTATTGTCCTCTCCCAGCCCTCCTCCGGCTCCACCCGGGAGGATTTGGTGTTGTTCATCAGAGACCTCTTCACCCGCCTCCAGATCGGCGGAGCCGAGTTCAAGAGGAAGGCTCTGGATTCTCTTGTTCAGCTTCTTGCCGATGACGAGAAACATGCGGGGCTTATCCCCAAGGAAGGGCGTATCTCGTATTTGATAAATCTTCTCGACCCGAATTCAGATCCGGCAATATGTGAGCAGGCAGTCATAGCAGTGTCGATGATTACGTCCTCCAGCAACCAGGCGAGAAAGTCCGTGTTCGACGACGGCGGTTTAGGGCCATTACTGAGATTAATCGAATCTGGTTCGACCATCATGAAAGAAAAAGCCGCCATGGCCGTGGAAAACATCACAAGTGATCCCGAAAACGCCTGGGCGATTTCCGCATACGGAGGTGTCCCTATCCTAATCGAGCTCTGTAAATCCGGACCCTTTCCGGCCCAAATTCACGGCCTAGGGGCAATACGGAACGCCTGTACTAACGAAGATGTCCGGAATGCATTAGCAGATGAAGGCGCGATTCCTATTTTTCTCCAGTACATCGTCTCTGGAAATTCCTCCACCCAAGAGAAGGCTGCGAACTGCATCGCAACCCTAGCTTCTTCAGGCGGGTATTTCCGCGATCTGTTACTCAGAGAGAACGGGTTGTCCAGATTGCTTCAGTCACTACACGAATCCGCCCGACCAGAAACGACCGAACATGTTTTACGAGCGATTCATTCGCTTTCAGGTTGCGAATCAGTATCACGGCATCTCTCGTCATCCATAGCTTTTGTTACTCAGTTATCAGAGCACATAATTCATGGAACCATGATGATACAATACATTTCTGCTTCCCTGCTTGCTACTCTGTCCATTAGTGAGGCGACTAAGAGGGAAATTGCAGGGTGTATGGGCTCATTGGTGAAGTTAATGCAGTCGGCAAAGCCCGATGGGATGCCAGAGGTGGCTACAAAGGCATTAACGTCTTTATTGAGCACAAACTGTAACCGTAAGGATTTGGTGAGGGACGAAAAGAGCTTAACATTGATTGCACAAATGCTTGACCCTAAATGTGATTTCATTTCCAAGAAGTTTCCGATGGCTGTGGTGTCATCGGTCATGGCTGGAGGGAGTAAGGGTTGTCGGAAAAGGCTTATTGATGCTGGAGTTTATGGACATTTGCAGAAGTTGTCTGAGATGGAGGTTGTAGGGGCCAAGAAGGCCTTACAAAGACTCTCTGGGAATAGACTGAAGAGCATAATTGCCAGAACATGGTTAGAATGAAAGATCAATGGAGTAATTATCTTCACCACAGGTAATAACTGCTTTTCGCAACATGATATATTGTTTATAAACGTTGAGTTCTGTCCATTTTGTAGTTAAGCTCAGTTTTGTGTTGCCAAATGCCTGGATAGTCTGCTACTTTGATCTTTTCCTTAAGAATTGAGATATTCTGCGAATTCGATTAATGACAATGACATCGATTGCGGCCATAATATTCTATGAATGGTTTGAAACTTTGGATGGATGGTATTGTTTCATCCCCTTCCCTTTATATTTCGAAAGATGATAAGATAAATTTTAACTCTATATCTTGTACGATAGTTTTTTTTTTATCTTAAGAGAGCCCTGAGCCCTTCGATTCCTTAAACTGAGAATCAATAATGACTAAACAAAGTAGTGTTATCAAATAGTGATTTTGAATGGGATTTGTTTCTAAAATTCATCATGTTGTCTCTCATATACCTATTGACGGGAATGATCACCTTGTTAGTTTTGTTTACATACCTTGTATAAATCAATGATCCCACTTTTTCTGTTAATTTACTGGTTTAGTTAAAACCACATTTAACTTAGAAATACCATTTTCTTTGTTTGAGGAACAAAAATTTTAGGAAACATGTTTTCTTAATGAAAGAGTGTGCTATTTTAATGTTTAGGCCACAAAACCAGTCAAATCAATGAAATATGAACTTGTTTGGTCTCATATCATCATAATTCATTCTCATGGTTTGATCATTTCACTATGTCCAATATGAATTTGATGTGGAGGCCATGTAAGACTTCAATTCATGACACCACGATGGTATGTGACATAGTGACTCCATAAATTTTTCAATCATATCACTCTAATTGAAGTCAGTGGACCAATGATAATATTTATTACAAACCAAACCTTGAAGGTGAAGATTGTGCCCCAGAGAAGTACACCATTTCCAGTTTTATGGAGAAGAATGCCGCATATTTATCAATTAATGCTTATAATGAATGGATCAACTCATCAACCTTATCTTTGCTGCATTGATGTCACTGCATAAAACTGATCTCTTAACTGTCTAATTTATTGGGTTGCTTATATTGGTAGCTTTCTGAACTGAATGCCTGTGTTCTTGTGGGGTGTATCATTTATGAACTGACAAGGTTTCATGTGATGCACATTAATGTTTTACACCTACTTTTTAGAGCAATGCTTTTCATACACAAAATTTGTACACCAACTTTTAGACCAATCTCATTTTTATTTGTCACAGACACGCTACAATGTTCATTGCTATGAAATATTGTAAGGTGTCTGTGAAACCAAATATGGGGTTGGTGAATAACTTTGGGTGCACTTTCATGAAAAATATTTCTCACCCCTCCAAAAGGAGATCACTACTCAAGTGCTATTTATTCTTTCCTTTTTTGGCAAAAATTCTCTGGAGCGAGGTAGGTCTCGTTTACGGAGCCAAATGGCTTATTACTTACCACTCATTTATATGAGTATATTGGCCCCACTGAAAAATGAATGGTGAAGATGATGTATATAAGCCAATTGGGTTTAGTAAGGGAGCTCTTTCTGGCTCCATAAATTACTCATGTTTTGGTATATTGTTTCTGTCCATGAGATATACTACATAATTGTTATAACTGATGTATTCTATGCAGAAGTTTGTTTAGATATGGATTTGGATTCACCATGAGTGAGGAAATTCACACGTTTCCGGCCCCGAGAATCAAGCACACACCCTGGCGGCGGAGTACACCGTAAATTTTACCTATACTATATTATTATCTGTAAATAAGAGGAAAATTGTAATTAAATTTGTTCCCAGTCAAATGGCATGGAATCATGGATGCGGTTTTAGGAAGTATCCTTGTTTTTTTATCTGTTGGATCTTGCAAGTGCTACATTTTTTGTTAAATAATACTATGTAGTTATGCACATCCAAGACTGTCTATTTTCTTTTCTAATTTTGAAGGAGCTCTTTTTGACAGTGTGTAACTAAGATCGTCTTTTTTCACTCCTTCATATGTTGGAGAAATATGTATTACACCTCACAAATGCAGTCTCATTTTCTAGTATCTGTTCTGAGTTTCTGACCTCAGCACTTCACCAGTCAATTGAAGTGTTCTTGTGACGCTCTCTTTGTCATATCTCAATTCAAGATGATATTTGCCATTTGTAAACACTGAAATATTGTTGGGCCAATTCTATAAAAACAGGTTGACGAATGGTCTTGGTAGTTGATACTTTCCGGGAAAATACGGCATTTCTTCCCTTTTTAATTCATTTATATATATTAATTTAGGAATTTTATCAATTCAGGATTTGAAAGTTAGACGAACTATCGATTCGAATGATGGAAAATTATGGAAAATTATGAATTTTGGCCTTTTTTGGCTATTTTTCACACTTCCTTAACATTTTACCTGACCTGCTTACCATTGTCGTGCTCCAATCATTATCCTTCGTATTCCATATCTGGATATAACCTTTGTTGTGAAATTACTATCAATTTCATATTAAGAGACAATAAAATTTTAGTCAAATTAAAACATCATTAGTCACATGACTAGTTTGAGACAGAGGTACTAATATGGATTATAACCGTTTAAAAGTGTCACGCCCCGGACCGCATCTGAGCCACGTAGACGACCGTCGTACAACTCGATAAGAACAACAACATTTCATCCCTATTGAATTGTACAAGGCGTCCGATTGATTCTATTGCCAAATCGATTAGTAAACACATACAATCAACATCAATATCATAGTCAAACAAATGCGGAAATAATAATATGTTTGATACTTAGCCACACGTGGCAAACACGGGCACGCAGGCCCCCAACTGTTTTAATGAAGACATTGTTCAAAAATCCATTAGCAGTTTATAGATTTCAAAAATACGAATGGGAGCACGAACCACGTCTTCCTCCTCGAAGGATCACCCTAGGCAAAGGTGCATGTAGTAGGACTCTAGCCTCAACCTGAAAAATGTGAGGGCCCCCGGAGAGGTCAGTACTCCATAGAAGTACTAGTGACAAACAGGCTATATGAAGAATAACTAATGTTTCAGACACGAGACCCAAAAATAGGGTGATACATATATATATGTGACTCATTCATCCGATGATACATACTGTATTGATGGAGTATATGGCCCAGGGACCCCCGGCCCACATACTTCCTCTACTACAATCAGGCCCAACAAGCCCAAATGGGCCAAGCCCAGAAAAATGGAGCTCTAAGCAGCCCACAATACATAAAGGGGTGCCTTCGGCCCCATGGCCGAAGGCTACCAGTGACGGAATCGAGCTCAGAAACATCACAGGAGAACAAGGCTTGAAAACCAAGCCTTCGGCAACTGCAGCCCTCGGCAGGTAGGAGCCCTCGGTTAGAAGATGCATCACACGAGAACAAGGCTTGAAAACCAAGCCTTCAGCAACTGCAGCCCTCGGCAGGTAGGAGCCCTCGGTTAGAAGAGGCATCACAAGAGAACAAGGCTTGAAAACCAAGCCTTCGGCACCTGCAGCCCTCGGCAGGTAGGAGCCCTCGGTTAGAAGAGGCATCACAGGAGAACAAGGCTTGAAAACCAAGCCTTCGGCACCTGCAGCCCTCGGCAGGTACGAACCCTCGGTTAGAAGAGCCTTCGGCCCAGCACCCTTCAGCCGAAGGCATCCACCTCGACAGAATATCCTCTTCACATGCGCCTGGATCACCGTACCAAGTACAAACGTCACATCCAACCACCGCATTTAATGCGGCCACATGTGAGTGCCAGTGCCACCCCGGTCGAGGTGACCCCTCGACCACCAGAAAACTGACACGTGTCCTTATCTAGCATTTATTACTACTATAAATAGCACCACTTTCCCTCATTGTAAACCACACTTAATACATATCGAATATACACTCTCTCTCTTACTTGTTTGCTCTGACTTCTCTCTAGTTATTCTCCGCAATAACCCCTCGGATAAGCTACCCCCCGGGTACACTATCCATCATTTGGTGCTCTCATTGAGAGGTCGAACGATCAAGTAAGAAACCCTCCCCCTTCGCCAAACACTAGCCCTCTACCAAAATGGTGAGAACAACACGTGCCAACTCCAAAAACGTAGAAGACAAGAACCTAGCCCTCGGCGACGTCAACGCCCCCGAAGCCTCTCACAAGGCTCCCGAGGGCGGTGTCATCGCTGGGCTGGAACAGGCGGCTGTCGACCTACGCCTTCATATAAAGCAGAATGCCCCCGATGCCCGCCTCGGCATCGAGGCCAAGAAGAAAAACCGGAGCGATGACCAAGTCAGCCCTCCGGTCCTCACCATCGACGTTCATTCGGCACACTCCGCCTTCATCCAGACGTTAACTCAGAACCCGGGTGCCTTCGGCACCCTGGCTCCGGCTCAACCCCAGGTTGGGGAGAACATCGTACTTCCCCCTCTGCCACACCCCTTCGGAAACCCCATCCCTCGGGTTAGGAATGACGAAGGGGTAGTGGCCCAAGACACGGCCTCCCAGGAAGTTCAGTCCTGGGACCGCCACAATGACAACAGAGAAAGGCCCCGCACTTCCGCCCTCAACCGGCTCGGAGGGGGGCAAGACCGCCGAGGGCCCCAAGAAAGCGGAGGGTCTGTCTCGAGGGCAGACGAGGAGCGTCCCCCTCGGGACAAAGGCAAGGCACCCCTTCATGCCGACGATGCTCGCCACCAGATCAACCAGGCCCACTCTGCCCGGGTTCGTTCGCAGGGGGCGGAGACCCTCCCGAAGGACCCCCGGGACGAAATTATTGCGGCCCTCCAATGCCGACTTGATGAAATGGAGGCCGACAAAGCTCACGCCACCACCTCCACCCCTCATTCAGACCTCAAATACGAGGCCATGATGGCCAAAATGGAGGAATTACAGAAGAAGGTAGCCGAGGGCTCCGAGGAACCCATCATCCAGCTCCGGACCCGGACGCCATTCACCCCAAGGGTATTGGCGGCCCAAATCCCGGAAAAGTACCGAGGGCAACTCATCAAGCCCTATGAAGGAAAAACTGACCCCCAGGAGCACTACAACAGGTATCAAAACAGCATGATGATGATGGGGGCATCAGATGAATACTTATGTCGTTGGTTCCTTTCCACCTTGGAGGGACCAGCATACGAATGGTTCAATCGATTGCCCGAGGGCAGCATTGACTCTTGGCAAGATCTTGCCCAACGCTTCCTCACCCATTTTGCCAGAAGGAAGCGCGCGAGAAAGCACTTCTCCCAGCTCCTCTCCGTCAAGCAACAACCTGACGAAACACTTCGGTCCTTCATTGACCGGTGGATGAAGGAGACAGACGAGGTCGAGGGCGCCGACGAGCGTACCCTCCTCGTCCTCTTCCAGGGGGTTCTCCGCAGCAGCCCCTACGCACGGAGCCTCATCACCGACCCCCCAAGATCATACCTCAGAGCACTCTAGCGGGGGAGCCTATACGCCGACGCCGACGACCTCCACTCCTTCAAGAAGAACGAGGGCCAGCCCTCGAAGAAGATAAACAACACGTCGGCCCCAAATGTGCCCTCGGTCGGAGGCTGAGACCATGGAAGCCACACCCAGCAGGGCCGTAACGAACGCCAATGGCGCCCTCGGCTGGACATGCCGAGGACTCCCCTCACGCACCCGGTGAGCACTATCCTCAACTATGCGGAAGAGCAGGACCTTTTCCCCAAGGACCCTCGGTCGGCGAGGGAGATCTACGCCATCCACCAAGGCGGCACTTATTGCCGTTACCACAAAAGCACCTCCCACAATACAGACGATTGTGTCTCGTTAAAGAAGGTTATTGAACTCTTAATTCAACGGGGTGAGCTCCACCAATTCATCAAAAATGCCCCAAGGAAAAACACCGGGGAGAACACCGATAAAGAAGAAGGGGACATCGCAACAAAGAAACATGAAATCGGGAGGCTCAGTGACGGAGAGGAGTTCGAGGAGCCCCAGCCGAAGAAGCGCCACCTCCGCTAATCATGTTCCTCACCTTCGGCGTTAGTCTCAGCCTTGGGCCCTCGACCTCGAGGCACATTACCATCCCCTCGGCCTAGAGCCCTCGGCCTTGAGCGGTGAATCTTAACAAAGCCGTTGTCAAACAACGCACCCCTTGTATTCCGCTTATTTCTATGAATTTAAGTAAACTACAACACAATCCAGACATCTTATCGGCCCCTTCGAGGCCAAATGCCCAGGTATGGCCGATGGTTTCTAAAGACGAGGGGCCTGCAAAAGGCTCGGGTTTTTGGAGCGGGACGCTCGCCGCGTCGCCGGCGCGCAACGCACGGCGACAGGCCTGAAAGAATGGTTGAGGTGACGAAATCCCCAAACATGGGGGTGAAACGGCAGTCGTCGGAAACCGACCAAGCCTAGCCCGCGCCGTAAATAGACGACGGGACCCCCCAAGGTTAAGGGACGGTTCAGCGTCGGGGGACTAACAGACGAACCCCCGGACGGATCACTTGGACCCCCTTCCGGCCGAGGCGGGGAAGCAACCCCCTCGGCCGAAGCCTAGAAGAAGGAACACACATCAGGAGGACTAACATACGACCTCCTGGCACAATCAAGGGACGGCCCAGCGTCGGGGGACTAACAGACGAACCCCCGGACGGATCACTTGGACCTCCTTTCGGCCGAGGCGGGGAATCAACCCCTCGGCCGAAGCCTAGAAGAAGGAACACACATCAGGAGGACTAACATACGACCTCCTGGCACAATCAAGGGACGGCCCAGCGCCGGGGGAAAAACAGACGAACCCCCGGACGGATCACTTGGACCTCCTTTCGGCCGAGGCGGGTAATCAACCCCTCGGTCGATGCCTGAAAGAAGGAACATACACCCAGAGGACTCCTGGAACTATCAAGGAAAGGCCCTCGGCCTCAATTCGATTCCACGTCACCAATGGCCCTCGGCCTTGGCGTGATCCCACATCACAACGGCCCTCGGCCTCAACATCAGACGGCCCTCGGCCTCAACATCAACAACGTCCCTCGACCTCAGCATCAGAACGGCCCTCGGCCTCAACATCAACAACGGCCCTCGGCCTCGGCGTGAGGACATCACAATGGCCCTCGGCCTCAACATCAGACGGCCCTCGGCCTTAACATGACTCTATGTCATAACGGTTTTGGCCTTAGCATGATCTCACATCACCAACGGCCCTCGGCCTCAGCGTGATCCCACATCACAACGGCCCTCCGCCTCAACATCAGGACGACCCTCGGCCTCAACATCACCAACGGCCCTCGGCCTCAGCATGATTCCACATCACAATGGCCCTCGGCCTCAACATCAGACGGCCCTCGGCCTCAACATCAACAACGGCCCTCGGCTTCAGCGTGATTCCACATCACAACGGCCCTCGGCCTCAACATCACAATGGCCCTCGGCCTCAACATCAGACAGCCCTCGGCCTCAACATGACTCTATGTCATAACGGTTTTGGCATTAACGTGATCTCACCTCACCAACGGCCCTCGGCCTCAGCGTTATTCCACATCACAACGGCCCTCGGCCTCAACATCACCAACGGCCCTCGGCCTCAGCGTGATTTCAAATCACAATGGCCCTCAGCCTCAACATCAGACGGCCCTCGGCCTCAACATCAACAACGGCCCTCGGCCTCAGCGTGAGGACATCACAATGGCCCTCAGCCTCAACATCAGACGGCCCTCGGCCTCAACATGACCCTATGTCATAATGGTTTTGGCCTTAGCGTGATCTCACATCACCAACGGCCCTCGGCCTCAGCATGATTCCACATCACAACGACCCTCGACCTTCATCCCTCCGACATCTTTATTTGATGTCGGGGGCTATCATACAGGCCCATCGGCCTTCATCCCTCCGGCATCTTTATTTGATGTCGGGGGCAATCACACAGGTCCCTCGGCCTTCATCCCTCCGGCATCTTTATTTGATGTCGGGGGCTATCATACAGGCCCATCGGCCTTCATCCCTCCGGCATCTTTATTTGATGTCGGGGGCAATCACACAGGTACCTCGGCCTTCATCCCTCCGGTATCTTTATTTGATGCCAGAGGCTATCATACAGGCCCATCGGCCTTCATCCCTCTCACATCTTTTTTTGATGTCGGGGGCAATCACACAGGTCCCTCGGCCTTCATCCCTCTGGCATCTTTATTTGATGCCAGGGGCTGTCATACAGGCCCCTCAGCCTAGCTTTCATCCCTTCGACATCTTTATTTGATGCCAGGGGCTATCATACAGGCCCTCGTCCTTCACCCCTCCGGCATATTTATTTGATGTCAGGGGCAATCACACAGGCCCCTCGGTCTCCATCCCTCCGGCATCTGTATTTGATGCCAGGGGCTCTCACACAGGCCCACCTAGCCTTGCACCCCTCCGTCACCTTTATTTGATAACGGGGGGTCCTTACAAGCTCCTCAGCTTTTTCATGCAGGATCTAAGGCTGGTCTTCGATATCCCCTCGGCAGACGGACACAACCACCGCTTAAAAATCTAGGTCGAAGGGTGCATTCCTTTTGCTTCATTCTGGGGGCATCCGGTGTACTCTTTTCCCCTCATTAGGATTTTTTTTTCCCACAGGGTTTTTTCCTAATGAGGTTTTTTAACGAGGCATCTCCCCATTGTGGAACAAAAGGCATCACCCCCCGACAGCTCCTGCTGAAGGCATGCATCACTCTACTCCTGTTTCCCTCGAGAAACTCTCGGCAAAAGGAGTGGGGGACTGGGGGACTCCCCTCGGCAAAACACGCAAATGTTAAAAATTTTCTATTTCTCAGCTACAGCAAGCTGAGGCAAGATCACAACGGCAATCTACTCCCCTCGACATGATGCTTTCGGCTTACAGAATGCCTCCGGCCACACAATGCCTTCGGCCACATGATGCCTCCGGCCACACAATGCCTTCAGCCACATGATGCCTTCGGCCACATGATGCCTTCGGCCACACAAAGCCTTCAGTCAACAAATGCCCTCGACAAAGCACACAAATGCAGATCTCTCTTTACTTTACAAACTACAACAAAGAAACACATACGAGCAACACACTTACACTCCCTTCAGGAAGCTCTCAGCCCTCGACATATGGGGGAATTGAGAAAATGAGGCACCCAACAGAACAGGGAAGCCTTCGGGGAAATCACCACAGCTACTCCTTTTCCCTCAAGTACCTTTCGGCAAAAGGAGTGGGGGACTCTTGATGGAGTATATGGCCCAGGGACCCCCGGCCCACATACTTCCTCTACTACAATCAGGCCCAACAGGCCCAAATGGGCCAAGCCCAGAAAAATGGAGCTCTAAGCATCCCACAATACATAAAGGGGTGCCTTCAGCCCCATGGCCGAAGGCTACCAGTGACGGAATCGAGCTCAGAAACATCACAGGAGAACAAGGCTTGAAAACCAAGCCTTCGGCAACTGCAGCCCTCGGCAACTGCAGCCCTCGGCAGGTAGGAGCCCTCGGTTAGAAGATGCATCACACGAGAACAAGGCTTGAAAACCAAGCCTTCGGCAACTGCAGCCCTCGGCAGGTAGGAGCCCTCGGTTAGAAGAGGCATCACAAGAGAACAAGGCTTGAAAACCAAGCCTTCGGCACCTACAGCCCTCGGCAGGTAGGAGCCCTCGGTTAGAAGAGGCATCACAGGAGAACAAGGCTTGAAAACCAAGCCTTCGGCACCTGCAGCCCTCGACAGGTAGGAGCCCTCGGTTAGAAGAGCCTTCGGCCCAGCACCCTTCAGCCGAAGGCATCCACCTCGACAGAATATCCTCTTCACATGCGCCTGGATCACCGTACCAAGTACAAACGTCACATCCAACCACCGCATTTAATGCGGCCACATGTGAGTGCCAGTGCCACCCCGGTCGAGGTGACCCCTCGACCACCAGAAAACTGACATGTGTCCTTATCTAGCATTTATTACTACTATAAATAGCACCCATTTCCCTCATTGTAAACCACGCTTAATACATATCGAATATACACTCTCTCTCTTACTTGTTTGCTCTGACTTCTCTCTAGTTATTCTCCGCAATAACCCCTCGGATAAGCTACCCCCCGGGTACACTATCCATCATGTATATATATATATATTTGTAAAATACTCGACCCATAGGTCATTTCATTCAAAGAGTCTTTTAGAGATAAAGTTCTTACCTGACCTTTCTCACCCTTTTCCCGAATGCCTAGCTCGCCAGCTACATTCTATATTCATAATATCCTACCGAGTTTTGGGAGCATTTAGCATTCCGGGGATACTCAACCCCAACCGAGTTTCAGGATCATTTACCGTCCCGGGGATACTCAACCCCAACCGAGTTTCAGGATCATTTGCAGTCCCGGGGATACTCAACCCCAACCGAGTTTCAGGATCATTTATAGTCCCGGGGATTCTCAACCCCAACCGAGTTTCAGGATCACTTATAGTCCCGGGGATGCTCAACCCCAACCGAGTTTCAAGATCATTTATAGTCCCGGGGATGCTCAACCCCAACCGAGTTTCAGGATCATTTAATGTCCCGGGGATACTCAACCCCAAACTAAATCCTTACCAAACCCTAACCTGGATATGGCTAACCTTTCGTTCCTTCAACTATGGACAATACCTATCCTTATAGTCATATAATCAACCTTAGGAACCAACGTGGGCGGGTCCAACCTGAACGGCCCACATTAACCCGCTCAAAACTGCCCGTTTTGAGCATAACCCAATACTCGATCGAGTATCAACCCATACTCGGTCGAGTACAGGAGACAGTAGTCCACAAAGCTAATTTTCAACAAATACCCGATCGGGTATGTGTCAATACCCGGTCGGGTATGACAGTTGACTTGTCGGTCAACGCCCGTTTGACCACCCAAACGGAGTCCGATTAACGTGAAATTTTATACACATATCCTCCTTGACGTCCTTGATCCAAAAATACCATTTTGGATCCCTGTAACATCACACATAATAAGTTATCACACTTTTAACCACCAAACCTACATAACATGCTTTTCAACTACTCCCTCCGTCCCCATTTTACCATATTGGGATGTCCCTATTTAATTGTCTCATACCTTATTTGGTAAAGTTTGTGTGGCTCAAAATCATTCTTACTTTATTCTTACTTTATCTATTAATATCAACCACACAAACCTACTTTTCTTAAAACTCGTGTCACCCTCTTTCGGGACATTTAAAAGGGGACGGAGGGAGTATGTTTTATGTATAATCATGGCATAAGCAAACACTTGGTTATCTTTACTCATTTCATAAAACACATCCTTGATTACTTTAGGTAATCTCATGCCTCACGCAAAAGTTATAAAGCATAAAGACGTCTTCTCACCTTAATGAAGCTTATGAAGTTCTAGCCTTCCCGATTTAGCTCCGGCGAAACTCCGGCGAACTTCAACGGACTCCGGTGACAACTCCGGCGACCCTTTCAACTCCGTGAAAGTTCCTTGAATACCTTAGACAAGTTACTAACAAGGTTTTATCATCATAAAACCCATAGTAATACAAATAACCCCCAAAAGGTTATTTTCCGGCGAACCGGTCACTTTGGCTTCTAAGTCTGTTCTTGGGCTTAGAACCACCTTCCAACCCCTCATTCTACACTTCCAAACGTGTAGAACAATCCTAGGGTGTGAAATATGATTGAATAATCATATAAGATGGTTTAAGAAAAAGGAATGGGATTAATGAAGTCCTTACCTTGGAAATCTCAAGTTTTGCTCTCTAGCTTCCTCTTTTCTCTTCTCTATTTCTCCCCTTCTCCTTCCTTAGCCTTGGTGCGAAAATGGGTGAAGAATGAGGTGGTTGCAGAGCTTATCTCACCTCAGTTGATGCCAAATCCGAATGGATGGCTGTAAGGGGTGATGGGAGTCTATTTTGGGCTCATTAGACAATGATGAGGGGTGAGGGGTCCTCTTGGGGTCAATTCTTGTCTCAACCTCCCCCTAGCTCGGCTCTCTCATCCAAAGTCAGCATTTTCACACTCCTCTAACCAACCAAGGCTGGAAAAAACGTGGGGTGGCCCCCACCCATGTGGGAGGTCATCCCTTTATGTTCCCAAGTGTACAATCGGTCCCGAAAGTTGTAATTTCCGGACTGTTTTAAGTATATTTTATTTTATCGGGTCAAATAAAATATAATATTTGTTCCCAATTCTTAATGGATCTTAGAATCAATATGCATTCCTCAACTTTAATTTAGAAGTCTCCGAAATCCCTTTTCGGGCTGTTATCTGATAAAGTGCCGATACTAATAATTTGGCCCCGTTTGACCAACCGGTCAACCCTATGCCATTGCCATAGCTCAATTAGGATATCCACCACCATATACAAATTATCTAGTCCAAGATCAATATAATATGTGGCCCCGATAATATCGGACGGCCCCACCTCCGGTGTGGGCCCCACGTGAATTTTACTATTCACATAAAAGAAATGATAAAAATTTACAATCACGTAAAAACACTTTTATACATTTCTCAGAGTTCAATACATAATTCGATGAAGTACAAATACTTAGGGACGGTGTTACAAAAAGTCTCATCATATCATTGACCTCAAATTTTCTAAAGAATTTTCCGTAGTAGTTTAAATGTCTCATAACAATTTTCATATACTCTTTGATAGAATTATTACCTTATCTAATCTTTATACTTTTTTGACCGGATGGACACTAATTTTATCATAAGTATTCATACTAGGTCCTCCACGGTCTCCGACTCTCCGTCACATTAACTTGTTATTTTATATTTAGTTGTCTAAAAAGCTTTATTACTTTCTTTACCGCAGTTAGCTTATTTTATAACTTTAGGGGACAGTTCTATTTTAAAGTTCTAAGCAATGAGAACTTGAGCAGAGTATAATATCTGCACCAGATAAGGTTAGTAAAAGTATTAGAAAGATTTGAAGAAAATACACTATTGCCTTGTAATAGTGGAGTTATTCTGTGTGTACATAAATAATTGTTGATTTTTTCTAAGCTGTTTGTGTACATTGACAATTGGGGTACACAAAAATCTATACTTTTTGTGTGTACAAATAGTTTTTTTTATTAGTTTTATCATATGTTTAACTGACTCAGTTTAGCCGGGTTGATCCGGAACCCGGCGACCAGGATCAAATTCGGTTCGGTTAGTTAAAAATCCGAAAGTGGTCAAAGATTGAAAAAACCAGGCTGACCCAGAAAACCCATCCATGCTCGGACCCAAAACCCCGACAAATCTGGGAAAACCCGGTTTCGGTTGTTTTTCAGAAAAAATATTTTTCTTTTAAAAATTTAAAACATTTTTCACCAATAAAATTCCAATTTGAATACCATAAAAAGAAAAAGTACATTTTATTTTAATTTTGTATACAATTATATGTTTATTATATATGATTGATCGGTTTTATGATATTGACCAGGTTGACTTAATCGGATCCAGGTTTTCTCGTGACCCAATCATGTCGCTTTGTCGCTTCCCGATCCGGTTTGTTAAATATAGGTTTGAGGATATTTTTACTTGGACTGTTTTCAGTCCAAGACCAAATCAGACCAAACATAAACAGATCAGATCAGACCAGACTAGACTTTTATAGTTATAAAATATATCCAAAGACCAGATATTTACCGTACCAATTAGTCTTGATTATACTTTAACAAACCAGACTATATCAGACGAGTTATGGTACAATAATCATCCTTATCATCATTTCTTTCTCCCGTACATGCATTATCCAATAAATAGTGCTATTTTTGCCTTTTCTAGCGCATCACCTATAGTGCTTGTCGTTGCTCAAATTTCTGTGTCGTATTCTCATGTGCGAATGTATGCTCACTCATGGAAAAGCGAGAAGAATGCGACAAATTATATCGCTACTACGTACTCCACATGCAGCACAGTGTACTACACAAGTACAGCACAGCTAGCTGTAAAGATTATCCCCTTTTTGCCCTACTTCGTCTTTATACATTCTTCTCAGGCCGCATTGTCACTTTTAAGCCATTGGGATTTTCTTTCACCCGCCTTTTCAGGGGGTTTTGCTTTTCTGGTAGTAGTTGTAAGAAGTTAATGGAATTGGAGCAAAACTTTTCATTTAATTTTAGAGAGAACTATCAAATAAGCCCTCGAACTTACGTAAAAAGTGTAAATAAACCCTTCTATAGGAAGCTCTGTCCGACCGTCGCCATTTGGGGCGGTTTTCGTTGGAGTTTTTTGATGATTTTTTTTTAGCATCTTCTTCATTAAGTCTTGTTTACTCATACCAAATTTCACCTAAAACGTCAACTGAGAAGGCAGTTGATAGAGCATATCTTCTAGAGAGAAGTGCAATAAATACTTGCTATAATAATTTGTGAACCCTCTACAACTACTCCCAAGGGGTGTATTTATAGAGGAAATTAGGGTTGGGCTCCCAAGTCTTGGGGTTGGGAGGCCCGTTTACAATTGGGTCACTATTGGGCTGAGTACAAAATATGTAGAAGTAACTAAGTGTGAAGTCCGGTTCTGGGAGCTCTCTGTGGCCGACGAGGGTCTGGCCGACGGAGCCATGGCCGACAGAGACCCGGCCGACGGGGACACCCGGTTCTCCTGGCTTCTGGATCATGTTCTGAGTTGATATCTTTCTGGCCGACAAAGGCCCTACTGGGTGACAGCTGTGTCTCTTATTCTTTTGAGTATGTGGGTCCTGGGGTCTAGACTCATATACTCCATTAGCAGTCAAATGATTTTCTGAAATGTACTGCGCTGTTTAACTGCGCAGTTATCTTCAAAAATTCATTTGAGTAACTTCCTGATTGAACATTTAGCTGTAATTTGGTACAAGTAAACTAGACTTAATGAATAAGATGCTCAAAAAAAATTCATCAAAATTCCACAGGGAATCGCCCCAAATGACGATGGCCGGACAGAGCCTCCTATAAATGGGCTTATTTGCACTTTTTATGTGAGTTCGAGGGCTTATTTATGGAACCCCTTACTTCATCAAAGTCAAACGTATTTTGTGGAGTGCTTAAATGATACTCCCTCCGGTCTTAAATAAACTTCACACTTTGACTTCACACAAATTAAGTAAATAAATTTGATTTTACTGTAGAGTACACTGTTGTGACACTGTTTGACATTATTTTGCATTGTTTTGATGTAGATAATATGTCAAATAAGGAAGGGAGAAGAAGTGTGAAGTTTATTTTAGACCTACCCAAAATGAAAAGTGTGAAATTTATTTAGGATAAGATTTCAATTAATGCAACTCAGTGGCGCATTAAATATGGTCTCACTAGGCCATCCCCATTTCCTTTAATGCAACTCTTTTTTTGGAGTTTTACTAAAATCCCACAAACATACGTACTATTCATATGAATGCTGAAGAAAAGATTTTCACACTAGAATCAAAACAGCAAAACAAATTAACCTAAAACTTGTAAATGTGTATACAATATCTAAAATACTTAGCTTACTTTAAAGTATGTATGGGCGTGTTCGCGCCATGTAATCAGCCGTTCAAAGATGGTTTTGTCACATAAGCCTTAGAGAGAGCCTGACCTCACTGGGACTTCGGCCAGACTCTAGAGTCTAGACCGGGCTGTTCAGATCAGTCTTGACATGGTTAACCCTCCACGAGCCTTGGTTTCTCTGTTCAGGTTCATTTGAATCTATTAATTAATCTTGTGTTTCAAGTTGTTCGTTAGTATTCTCATGGATTGGGGCACAATCGACCTATTGGGCTATGTCGGAGTATATCATTATTAAATTCATGAATCCACTTTTTTCTATATTCACTTTTTCAGGAATTAAATTTATAAAAAGGCAATGTGAACTGTGTTAGTTAAATGTTAAGTTATTCAATAATATAAAATTTTCAAAAGTATAAATATGATTTTCCATAAATAGTATTTATACTAACGTATAACACATATATTTTGAGATTCCATGTTATTTTTACTCTTGTATAAAATTGGGAGAAACTACAAACATATATACACTTGAATTATATGTTAGAGAATGGAGAATAAACATATCACTCAGCATTCAATTCGAACAATTAAACATAAAAATTGTAAAAATTAGATTTTCATATGATTAAGTGGTATATTCGGTTTTTGAGATATGATGGAATATAATTCCAGCGAAAAGAGCTTAATCAATCAAATATTCATGAATTGTAGAAGAGAAAGTAATAACAGTATTATTAATTGAGGAAGCTTCCCCTTACAAGAGATGTATAAGAGTATTTATAGGCTACATGAACTAGTATTTTAGTATGAAACGGATACAATAAAGGCTATTAATTGCATATTAATTCGAATATGACTCTTGTAACGTTCCTGCTGTTGCTAGATAACTATGTTGGAATAATAGCCTGCCACGTAAACCCTAGGAATATCCCGGTCTCACTAGAACTCCGCCCAGGCTCGAGGTCTGTTGTCTAGCCTGGCCTGGTTGTGGGTTCCTTTCGTGAGCTGGATCCCTAGTTAGGTCTAGCGGCTAATTAATATTAATCCTGTAAAGGGTCGATCCCATTGATGGGCTTTGCTTTAGTTCAATCTTGGGCCATGTTAATGATCCATGGTACCATCACGAGCCCCACTTTTCTTCAATTTTGACTCAGCCAAAATTCTCTGTAGGTTCTCGATCCAGGGGATGTTGATAGAGAACCTTGAATTGTTGCTCATTGATGGAGTTTAATCCAACTACGAGAGCTAAATCTAACATTAGTTTGAATAGGATTCCTCTAGCGTCTCGGCGCCATTGTGCAATGATTATCTCCATCAAGACTGCATTTCCCAGTTAAGTCCTGCTTGCTGTCAAATAGCTATGCTTAAATGATAGTCTGCCACGTAAACCTTAGGAATATTCTAGCCTCACTAGAACTCCGCCCAGGCTCGACGTCTACTGTCCAGCCTG